AGATCACGAGCACAGCCTGCAGCCAGGCTGCTTGGGTCTGACCTGCTCAGCTGTCACTAGCTGTGCAACCTTGAGTAAGTTGCTTAACTTCCTTGGGCCTCAGTATCTTCATCTGTAAAGTGAGGATAATAATAGTACCAACCTCACTGGGCTGTCGTGAGGGTGATGTGAACGAACACCTGTGAAGTGCTTAGAACAGTCCCTGGCAGAGGGCACACTGCCCAAGTGTTAGCTACTGTCATTGTCGTGGTCATTATTATTATTTACAATGCCTTCTGTCTACTTTGAACAGTAGATGGAGCAACTATTGATGTCCCCACCTAATGATTTGGAACAAAGACTTAGGAAGGTAGGAGACCTGCTCACGGTCACACAGCTCCCGAGTGACCAAGGCAGGATCAGGGCCTGGGTCCTCAGAGTCCCACATCCACACATTTCCTCAGAGGCATGGAAGGTGGTGATGGCCAGCAAAGCTAAAAGGAAGTGCTCCTGGCCCCAGAGCTAAGTGGGGACAGACTGTTCTAAGAGGCACTTCTCAGCCAATGCTGCAGCAGGATGGGACCTGAGCTAAATGCCTGGCAAGATGTCTCCTGTCCTTTATACCCCAGCTCTTCTGGGGTGATCTCACCTTTGGCCTTGTCAGCAGCAAATCTGCTGAACAACCGTCCTGCCTCTTACTGAGTGGCTCTGATTGTGGCCAAGTCCCCTCAGGGACGGTAGTCCTCCCAGCTGGCTTGGACCGAGGCATTGCCTACCTGAAATGACAGGAACAAGTGGTATTGTGAGGGAGTGGACTTGTGGGAGACCCACGGAGACAGGCTCATGTCCTGGGTCCATCTGCTGAGGAGAGCTGACAGAACCTAGGATGATCTCATCCAAAGAGCCCAGCTCATTCTCTCTAATTTTGAAGAGAATTATTTTGCTCAGAGAACTGCCTGGCTCTCTCTCAGTGCCTCAAGCCTCTCACCACCTCCCAGTCCTACCCACACAGCAGCTAGATTCTGCTTCCTCAGAAATATATCACTTAGGGTCTTCCTGGCTCAGTAGCCTTCAATGTCTCTCTGTCATTTGCCTTATCACATAGCACAGCCTGGAATCTGAGATCCTTCCACTCCAGATCACGCTTTACTCATGATTGCTCCAGCCTAGTGGGTCTTTTCTTCACCAGTGACCTGGCTACTGCCACTTGGGGCTATTTTCCTATTTCTCAGCCCAATCCATTCAAGCCTTCTTTGCTTAAAAGATTGGAACCCACCTCCCTCTCTAAGACCCCTTGTGGATTCAGTGACCCAAGTCTTGCCTCTTTCCTGTGCATCCCCTTTCTTCCCACCCAGCAATTATCCTCTTATATTATACTAAATTCTCTTGCTCTTTTCTTTCTGAGGCCTTCTCCTGGGAGACCCTTGAACCCTGAAAGGGGACAACAAATATATCAGTCAGAGATATGGTCAAACTAGCCATCGTCACAGGTATAGAAAGATAAATACAAAGAAAACTACAAATTATTCTTGTAAACCTAATAAAACATTTGGCTATAAAACCAAGAGCCATACACATGCAATTTATTTAACAAGCCATTTTCTCTCTCCTTAATGTCCAAACTAGATGTTCCTGGTACCTTAGAGATTTAACTGTAATTTGACAAACTTTCCCCCTAACCATTTCACAGATGAGTAAAACGATGGCCCAAAGACATCTTGTGCCTGGCCAAGCATTGGTCAGAAGTCAATTCTCACACAGAAAGCTGGACCATGTTAGCCTACATGTTTTCCCCTCTACCAGGCCAAGAGCGTCCCAAAGCAGGGGCTCTGTTTCTTGCACCCAAATCTCCCAAGATCTTAATTAAAATAGGGGAAGGGCAGTGCCTGTGACCTTGGTCACCTGGGGTCCTATCCACCCTTCTTATACCCTCCAGAAAAATTCAAGCACCTCAGGAGCCCCACCTGGGCCCACCCTTCCTGTTGGGTGTTCTAGAACTCTCCAGCTTCCTCCTGTGTCATCAGCCTCATCAACAACACTGGGTGTTTCATTTTTAAGGGCCAGTATCTGATTAACTAACTCATGCTAGGATGTTAATGACTTGTTAATAGCCCGATGAGGTGCTGCTTCCTGGGACACTTGTATTTGGAGGGAAGCCAAGACTAGGGACACAGAGGACGTTGCCCCTATCGGTACTTGGTAGATGTTCAATAAATATTTGATATATCAGTACCTATGGTTGTGAGATAATGTTTATAAAGTGTTTTCTGTTTAGTTTTGTACTTGGCAGATACCTCCTAGACAGTGGATGTTATTATTTGTAATGGTAAATTTTTCTAGCACCAAGAATGGTCTGAGTGCAGAGCCTGGGCCTGTGGGTACGCCACCCCTTCCCTGTTCTCAACATCTAATGCCACTGTGTAAGAATGTGTCTGAGGCAGACACCCCATGGTAGAGGAGGAAAGGAGAGAGGACTGGATAAGTTCTGCTTTACCTCCTACTTTTAGTCATCAGTGACAGTTGTTGGATATTGACTATGTACCAGATACTTAGGGAACACTTTATATAGATTAAAAACATGGAATTGTTACCACTTTTGTAATAGAGTTCATTGTCTCATTCCTAGTTGGGGGTGCTGAGGCTCCCAGAGGCGAAGCAAAGGAGAGTGGCAGAGTGGGAACTGGGCACCTGGAGCCTTGACTCCCTCCTGCTACCATTCCAGACAGACTTAGGCCCAACACACCCTCTCTGCCATCTGGTTGCTTCTCCAGCCAGGGGCCATTTGCTCGCTGGTCCTGCCTTGAGATGGCTGTCCAGAGGCTGGTCTGGCTCTGCAGGGAGGCTCCTGAGGGAGGTGTCCATGGGCACATGGCTCCTTACCCAGGCCCCAGGAACACAGTGTCTGACACACAGGTATCAACATGACACATAAAGGAGCCAGGCTGTGGAAGAGAGAGGACAGGGTTTCCAGCAGGATTTTAGCTAAGCAGAGGGATTTGGATGAGAAGAGATGGGTGGGTAGGAGCAGTTTGACAAATGTTGGAGGTAGTTACAGACACAGCCAGTGGGTGAGATGTCCTTGACCAGGTAAGGAGCATTGAGGAAGGAAGTTGTTGGATGGTGCAGGGGCAGCAGCTGCAGGACATGACAGCTAGGCTGGGGCGCTGCCATACACGTCAGAGAAACACAGCCAAAGAGCCATTGGTGGAGGACCACTGTGCCAGGAGTACATTCCAAGAGCACTGAAAAGTCTTCAGCGTTATACTACACACTCTTGTGTCCTCAGCACTTGCATGATGCTGAGTACAGTGTGCACTCAGTAGAGGTTGACAAGAGGGAAAAAGGAAAGGAGGGAGGAAGAGTGTATGAGTGACCTCAGGTCTGGGTCTGCTATCCATACAAAGGTTGATATGTGATGATATGTGATGTGGCCTTCAGAGGAAATCATGCAAGCTGCTCACAGGTCACTGTCCTTCCACACAGCCAAGAACATGCCAGGGGCCAAGGGAAGTAGGCAGAGCCCAGAAGACCTCTTCAAGGAAGGCAGGATGAAGGCCATAGAGCAAGAGGGGGTGAGAGGAGAGGGTGGGTGGAAGATGACAAAGAACAGGGAAGGAAGGCAGGGGAGGGACAATCTCCTAAACAAAAGAAGAGAAAGCCCTACCAAGCCTGTGTCTGGATTCTCCTCCCTCCTGTGCCCATCAGCCAAGAGCTACAGCTCATCAGGGGGCTTCGGGCGGGCAAGACAATCTCCAGAGACAGAGCCATGAGATGAAGAGGGCAATCATGGGAGGGAACTGGGCCCATCCCTGAGCCAGTGACCAAGAATGGAGAGGACAGTGAGCAGAACCCCTAGGGCAGGCACATAGGAGAGGAATGGCCATGCTCACTACTCATCTCTTTAGGGATCTTTCTAGCCTGAGCCTGCACTAAGGCTTGGTGTCATGGGGAGGCCCAGCAAGCTTCTGTTCTTGGCCCTTGGGCCTGGGCAGGTGATGCAGAAGTTAGAGTTTGTGTTGACGGCAACTTCTTAATTAAAGGCCAAACAGATGATTCCTGTCCTCAGGTAGCTTCAACTCTCATTTGCAGGTATACTTTATAGGAGAGACAGAAATATTGAAATGGATCACGCAGGAATCTGTCCCTGAAATCCAGGCCATAGGCCAGTCTCTCTTTGTCTCCTCTGTACTCTCGATGGTTGAGTCCCCACCTGAACTCCATTCTCCTCTGTTTTTCTCATTCTCTCCAGGTTGTGAGAGGCTTGTCCCACTCCACAGCCCCCACCCAGGCTGTCTTATGGTGGGTGTTGGAGAGAGATGAAGTGTGGACATCTAGATCTCTAGAGAACATGCAGAAGCACATGGTTGCCATGATCTCATGGCTGGTGCTGGCCTGGACTGCTCCTGTCCCATCCCAGGGACAGGGTCCCTCTGCCCCTAATCCCCCAGAAGAAAGAGCTGCTGCCTGATCTGGTTGAAGTCTCTAGGAGGCCCAGGGAAAATCACCACCCAAATAGTCTTCCCCTTTCTGGGAAAGAGGAGGACACATCTCTGGCTGGAGCCCCCTGATACTCCACTCAGTGCTGCCCTGACCAAGGAAGTCAAGACCATTTCTGTTCTCTGAGCCCCAACAGGAAACCAAGAACCCAGAGATTAATCCGGACTGAGGTGGTGATGTGCCATGACATCCCCCCAGAGAACTGAGGCCGGGGGCAAATTACCCTATAACAGCAGGTTAATTAGATAAGACCCAAATTATATGAGCAAGGCATGCAAGCCCAGCAATTTGAAGGTTTCATGTTGTTTCAGAGGTGGGGAGGCCTGATCTCTAGCTCAGCACAGAGAAAATGACTTCTTGCTCCCAGGCAAGCCAAACCCACGAATTAAGCTCTTGACTGCCCATCCTCAAGCTCAGTGCCAAGCACATATAAAAGGACCTGTCAGTCCTCTCTGCAGCCAGCAGAGCCTTTGTGGGATTTTGCCTTTCTCCTCTTGCATCTGAGCTCCATCTCCACCAGCGCCATGAGCCGCCAATTCACCTGCAAGCCAGGAGCTCTCTCCAAGGGAGGCTTCAGTGGCTGTTCTGCGGTGCTCTCCGGGGGCAGCTCATCCTCCTACCGGGCAGGGGGCAAAGGGTTGAGTGGGAGCTTTGGCAGCCGGAGCCTCTACAACCTGGGGGGTGCCCGGAGCATCTCCCTCAACACGGCCAGTGGCAGCGGGAAGACTGGAGGTTTTGGATTTGGCCGCAGCCGGCCCAGTGGCTTTGCTGGCAGCATCTTCGGCAGTGTGGCTCTGGGGCCTGTGTGCTCGACCGTGTGCCCACCTGGAGGCATCCACCAGGTCACTGTCAATGAGAGCCTCCTGGCTCCCCTCAATGTGGAGCTGGACCCCGAGATCCAGAAAGTACGTGCCCAGGAGCGGGAGCAGATTAAGGCACTGAACAACAAGTTTGCCTCCTTCATCGATAAGGTGGGTCTTTTAGGACCAGAGGAACCTGTGAACAGCTCCCTTTTCTCTTCTTGGAATATGAGTTTGTTAGGGCAGGGGAGGTTGAGGCTAGATATGAGGAGGCACTTACTGTGGACAAGGAGAGTACTTTCCATCGTTAGGGAGCCTTGTATAAGATTCTCTGCATCATCTTCCCAGAGAGATAACAAAGGTAAGCTTAATTCCTACTGGCAGAGGCTTACTTGGGTACCAGCAGGAAGTCTCAAGGGAAGAGCTCTGGTCCTTACTGTTGAAGGCCAGCTTGGTGCTATTGCTAATCACAGGGGCCTGGTAGACTGTGCAGTGAAGGCCAGTGAGAGAGAACATACCCCGGAATAGGCAGGGAAGCCTGACCTCTCATGTACATTGGCCTTGACTGCTAGTCCCTTGACCTGTACATGAGGAGCATTGCCGTGTCATCATCTTGGGCCCTTTGGATTCCCAGATGTCTCTGCCATGAGTCTTTCAGCTGATTAAGGACTCTCTTGCAAACCAGAAGAGTACTGTGGGGCAGAGGCTTCCATAGTGCTCTGAAGTCTGAATTGACTGAATATTGGGCTCAACACCGACCAGGTATTCGGCTTTGTGAAAATGACTTGTCTGAGCCTTTATCGCCTCACTCTAAATGGAGATTGTAATCTACCTCCTAAGAGTATATTAGGTTTAGAAAAGAAAATACATGTGGAGATCTTGGCACAATGCCTGAAAAGAACTAAGTACTCCAAAAATGGTGGTTCTTGTTACTATCTTTTATCTCTAGAAGCTAGGGGAGGGGTGTGAAAAGGAGAGGAATCATGAGAGCACAGGAGATCTTCTAGTCCAGACAGACTCCTGATTTGGCATAGATAAGAAATGATTACTCCTGTTTTATGAGTCAGCAAAGACAGGAGGCCAATGCTGGGCTCAAAGCTATTAGGAGGATGGGAAAAGAGGGGCTAGATCCTCAGTCTCCTGCCTCCAGATACAGGGGAGGAGGCTAGAGGGCTCTGTTAGCTTGCTGATAGTCAAACACCAAGGATAAGTCAGCCCAGGATAAATTCTGGGTCATGAGGACTCAGAGATGAGCCTGCCCTTGCAGCTCTACCCTTCCTGCCTAGAGGATGCCCTCCAGCCTTCTGCTCAGCCTCAGAGGCCAGGGCTGGCTCTGCAGCTTCTTAGTCCTCAGCTGTGTCACATGTCAAGATATTCTGAGCATTGTGGCCCAGGGGGAGGGAAGTGGATTGACTCTCGGCTGCAATGGTCAGACCCTGCAAGTGGAGGGAGGAGACATGAGAGAAAAGATGGACATAAAGACAGATTTGTTCACAGAGGTTGTCTGCTCAGAGGGAGAGGAAGGAGGTACAAACCCTGGACTGTTCCTTAATGATTTTAGTCTCAAGAGAAGTATGATCTCTTAACCTCAGGCAGCTAGAGAAGATGGTGAATCCATCAGCAATTCAAATGGGTCCAGTGGTGCAAATATGTACTGTGATTTCCCGGATGTAGGTTTACTTTGTGCTTAATGCTCAGCTCATGGGCATCTGCAAAGGATTCAGGACTGGTTAAATTAAACCAAATGCTGGATTATCTGCTGGTGGATAGTCCTGTCTCAACACTGAATCTCACACAGTGTTCCCATGCTCTGTGTTTTCTGATTTTTGGAGAACAAGTCTTTATTTAAAAAGTAGATATACTCACATAGATATAAAAAGTCACATTTTAAACACTGTGATCCCTCAAATCAGACAAGAGACATACATGCAGGTCAGCCCTCTGTGGTGAGTTTCCTGGCTCAGTGGGAGCCCCTCACCATCCTGCTTCACGTGCTGTGCTTGCTCTAGGAAAGGGAGAGGCTATGAGCAAAGACGGGCTTGGAGCCTGAGGCAGGAATTGAAAATATTCCAAAGCCCTAGACCCAAGCCTCACTGAGTCTGACATGTCATGAAATGGTCACTCTTTCTGATAAGATGGGCCTGGCTGGCTCTGTCTTGGTGTTTCCAGGCAGCCTCATGCCCTGCACTGATTTGGACACGGTGGCTCTGGTGATTGGGTGCATGAGGTACAGGGACATGTTTCTGGTTCAGTTCTGGCCTCCACCACTTATTAAGCCTTGGAAAGAAGTGATGCTTCTCCATGCCTCAGTTTTCTCTCTATTAAACAGGGTTTCGTTCCCCTGCCCCATGCAGCTGTATTGAGGGTTAAGGGAGATCAGGAAGGCACAGCAGTTGCACAATGACTTTGAGCCACAAGTGCAACAGTCTGGGGGCTCAACTATAGCTGGGATTTGGGGTTCCAGGTGCGGTTCCTGGAGCAGCAGAACCAGGTGCTGGAGACCAAGTGGGAGCTGCTGCAGCAGCTGGACCTGAACAACTGCAAGAACAACCTGGAGCCCATTCTTGAGGGCTACATCAGCAATATGAGGAAGCAGCTGGAGACACTGTCTGGGGACAGAATGAGGCTGGACTCAGAGCTGAGGAATGTGCGTGATGTGGTGGAGGACTACAAGAAGAGGTGAGTGAGGAGGGACCCCTGTGATTTGACACCTGCCTCAGTTTCTCTAAGGGACCCTGGCAGACACTTCAGTTTAAAATTCTTGGAGGTGAGAGGTGGTGTTTTCAGTCATGCCAAGTAGAATCACCCTAACAAGTCTAGAACATGCTCCTTGCTGCCAACCTACTGGCTTGACACTCAGGAAACATATTGAGTTACCTGGGAAGTGGTCAGAGGATTACCTCTGTCTCTGGGTGAGAGAGACCATGGTAAGCCTCTCACACATTCCAGAGCTTCTGAATCTTCATATGCAAAGAAGAGGTTCATTATACCCACCTCCCAGACTAGTTTGGGGGGTGACTGAGAATAGGCATGGGGAATACTCCATCACATGTGATGCTTTCTTCAAATTGAAAGCAGAGAAGGACAGCTTGTTTCTTGGTTCCTCTGAGATTCCCAGGGGGCACTTTCTCCACATGCTTCTTCATTTTCCAAGGTGGATCTCAACAATCCCCTTCTCCTGAACTGGGTCCATGTCTCCAGCCAAGGAAGCCTTTCTGTCTGGCTGGCCCCACTGTCCAGCACCTGTAGCCCCCAGTCCTTGTGCCTCTCAGTGGCATGCTGTTCCTCACCCTGGGTCTTCCCTGGGGAACAAAGGGTCTTGGTGAAAGGAATGAGCCAACAAGCCCCCGCCTTCTCACAGATATGAAGAGGAGATCAACAGGCGGACAGCTGCAGAAAACGAGTTTGTGCTGCTCAAGAAGGTGAGGAGGGCAGCCCTGAGTACAAGGACTGTCTGGTGCCAGGGGGTTGAGCCTGCCAGTGTGCTCTGCCACCAGTCCCAAATTGAGAGGATGCAGAAATAGTGAGGGAAGGCAGAAATAGTAATGAAAATCTTCCCTTCCTAATGTGAAGGGGCTCCCCTGAAACCAGAAGACCTGGCTCAGACATCACAGGGTGTCTCTGATAGTGGCTTTGCTAAGGATGCCTTCCTGAGAGGGCATCCCATTGCTGCTGATAGAGCAGATTCTCAGAATGGGCTAGGGGAAAGGGGCTGGACCTTTAGCTCCTCCATCTTCTTCATGAGCTACACAAAGGAAGGAGGGAGTCTACTTCCTTGAGCAAGGTGCCCAGGCTAGGGGCAGATGTTACATTCCTGGCTGCACCAGGAGTGACTGGGGTTGGCTGGGGCATCTTTCAGGATGTGGATGCTGCTTATGCGAATAAAGTGGAGCTGCAGGCCAAGGTGGACTCCATGGACCAGGACATCAAGTTCTACAAGTGTCTCTTTGAAGCTGTAAGTCTGAATCTTTGATCCATTCTGTGGGAAGCCAGTCAGTACTCTTCTCTGGTAGCTGGGAGAGACACAGAGAGCCTCCTAGTCAGCTATCCATCTCCTGTTCAGCCCTGTGAAGCTCCTCAATCTCCACCCTTTGAAGGAGAAGGGAGGGGGCAGGCCTCACTCCATGGCAGTGAGAATCTGTCTGAGGCACAGCCTGGGGAATGTGACAGTTATGGGTTTCAGGGAGGTGACAGTTACGGGTTTCAGGTTCAGTTTGACATCACTAGAATTTGCTTGCCTTGCTGGGGTGAGGTTATCAGCCTTTGACATGGCCAAGCTGAGAGATCACCTCCATTTCTCTTGCAGGAGATGGCTCAGATCCAATCCCACATCAGTGACATGTCTGTCATCCTGTCCATGGACAACAACCGGAACCTGGACCTGGACAGCATCATCGATGAAGTCCGCATTCAGTATGAGGAGATTGCCCTGAGGAGTAAGGCTGAAGCTGAGGCTCTGTACCAGACCAAGGTGGGCTGAGTTGAGGTTGAGCTGGGGGTGATACCAGCTGGCATGTGGGCTGGATTTGATGGTCCCAGAATAGAGACAGTGTCCATTTAGGTGACCACATGACATCAGCAACCTGGAGGCTTCATGTACTTTCATGATATATCCTCCATGCTCATCCACTGCTGTGTTTTGGGGTCCCCAGTTCCAGGAGCTGCAGCTGGCAGCTGGTCGGCATGGAGATGATCTCAAAAACACCAAGAATGAGATCACAGAGCTCAACCGGCTCATCCAGAGGCTCCGCTCAGAGATTGAAAATGCCAAGAAGCAGGTAAGGGACTTCGGCTGAAGCCAAGGGCAGGTGAGTGGAGTCCAAGGGAGATGAGTCGAATGAGAACCAACCTCATATGTCACAAGAGGAGGAGGCCAAGCAGGTCACTACTTCCAACCCTAGGAGCAGGCTGCCTTTGGGACACTTCTCCTACTCATTCCAAGCACCTTGGGTTAGAAGCTCCCTCCCTCAGGAATATTCCTCTTGCCCCACAGAGTGGTCTGAGACCTTCTCTACAGTTGTGTGTTTGCCAGGTGTCTGCGTTTCCTTGCACTTGTCACACTTTCTGAAATTTCCCAGCACCTGCCTCTCTCCTATCCCCATTAGACTGAAAGGAGGTAGGGATCTAGCTGCTGTGTGCCTTCCTGGCTTCTAGCACAGTGCCTGCCCAGAGTAGCAGCTTGATAAACATTAGCTCATGTGAGATTGAGGAGAAATGGGCTCAGGGAGAACCCATTAAAGCACCTAACCAAGGACTTACTAGGGTCTACTCCCAGGAATACAGAAGGCACCCTTGGTGTTAGCAGGCAGGTACACAAGAGCCATATACATAATAAAATAGCAGTAGATAGCAGTAGTGCCTATTGTTTTATCACATTTAATCTTCACAAGGCCCCTAAGAAGCAACAGTTACCATCCTCATTGTTACCAGTGAGGAAACTGAGACTCAGTGGGTAAGAGAATTGCAGAGCTGGGGAATGGCAGAGCTGTGCTCTGAACCAAGGTCTCTTGCCTGGAGACTGGTCCTTCTGTTCCATGTTCTCTCTGGACTCCCATGGGCTTCAACACTCAGCAACTTTGTGACTCTAAATAAGTCACCTGTCTTCACCACACAGGAGGACTAAATGAGCCAAAGTTTGTAAATGGAATGGGCAGTGCTGAGCTAGTGTTGGATATTCAGTGAGCACTTGGCAAATAACAGTTGCTCCTGGGGAGTCTCCTTCCCAATGCTCTCGGTCTGTGGGGGCCACACATCTGGGCAACTGATGCCATTGCTCCTACCATGCTCTATTCCAATGATGTCTCCTTCAGACCTTAATGTGAAAGAGCAGAAAGCCACTCTTCATGATCTTTTCACATCCTCGGCATAGTGCAGCTCAGTAAATGTCTCTGCATTGAACTGAAGTGGTGCTCCATTGGCTCTGCTCTCAGAAGGGCATGATGCACAATTTCTCATCACCACAAATGTCTGCACACAAGGTGTGGAGCTAGAGCTCGGGTAGAATTTGCCAGCTCCTTCAATTAGAGCAGAGGTGTTGTGTGCATCGGGTGGTGGGGGGCATCTCTGCCCTGGGATCCTAGGGGTTTGGATATAGAATAAGCCAGTGATTCCTTTCAGTTTTCTAACTTCTCTAATTCTTTGTTTAGGCTTCTAGCCTGGAAACAGCCATTGCTGATGCTGAGCAGAGAGGCGACAATGCTCTCAAGGATGCCCGGGCCAAACTGGACGAGCTGGAGAGTGCTCTGCACCAGGCCAAGGATGAACTGGCCCGGATGATGCGTGAGTACCAGGAGCTCATGAGCCTGAAGCTGGCGCTGGACATGGAGATCGCCACCTACCGCAAGCTGCTGGAGGGCGAGGAGTGCAGGTGAGCTGGGTGTGCTTGAGAAGGAGGCCCACGTGGGGATGGGAAGAACCAAATGAGAAAACCTAATATATTCTTATCCAGAAAGGGAGTTGTTGGGGAGTAATGAGTGGTGATGACAGAGAGAACACTAATAATTAGTGATTCTAGCCATGAGTAGATATGAGTAGTCACTCACACTAAGAGTGCTTATATCAACCCAGACTCTGAGATGCTATGTGATATACTCTGTGGATTAGGTCATTCAGTCCTCCCACTGTCCCCTGTCCCTGAAAAGCCTCATTCCTCTATTAGGCTGCTTTCATCTTCCTTATCTGTCTAGGAACCTGAGAGCTTGTCAGAGGTGTGTTGGGGCAGCCACTCTGGCTTCCCTGATGTGCTGAGGAGATAAGAAGGCTGGGTATTTGGGCCTGGGCTACTGCTCCAACACATGTACCACTTGCAAGCTATTATTTTACTGAGGTTGTTACCTGGTTACCCCTAAAGATTCAGGGATGCCCCCCAAATTTTCTCAGACTCTGATTATATCAAAGAAGCCCTGAAGTTTCCACAGGTGCCCCTTGGGATCAGAAACCCACATCAGGCTAGTGGGATAATAGCTTTGAAAAGACTGTGGGTTGGATAGCTGCTCTCTCTTACTTTACCTCTCTCTTTAACAGGATGTCAGGAGAATATCCTTCCCCTGTCAGCATCTGTAAGTACTTGTGTGCTCTGATCTAAACTTGTAGAATCTGAAGATGGGAGAGGATCTTAGTTACACCCCATGAGTATAGATCAAGCTCTAAGAAATAGAGAAGGAAAACCTGTGCCTGAGACTAGGAAGCCAAAGGGCAGAGCCATGGCCAGAAATCAAGCCTCCTGCCCGGGGTTCTTTTGTCTTTATCATCCTCTGTTCCCAGAGGGATGGCTATTGCCTTTGGGATCAGGGAAACAAAGAACATGTTCTAAGAAAATGGGCCTGTGTGTGAGGCTTGAGAAGCTGAGTTTGCAAGCTTGCAATCAGACCTGGGCTTGGAAATTACAGAATGGGGGACCTCATAGATCAAGCCAAGTATAGCATTTTTGGGTTTCTCAACAGGGCTAAAGAGTTAAGCAGAGCACTGGACAGCTGTGGGTTGTGAGGAAACCTGTAGGGGATAGAGGCTGGAGTCTGGGAGTTCTGCAAATAGGCTTATAGGAGAGGCAGTGCATGGGAGTCCAGAAAGACAATGGGTATCTGGATGAAGGAGATGGGCCTCTGAGCATTAATGGGCATGGCTCAGCCAGATTGGGTACAAGGTGAAGAAGCCAAGGACAGGGCATGGGGGAAGGTGTCTTTGGGATATTCTCTCTAAGGTGAGGGAGTGGCTGTGACCTGGGTCTCTAAAGAGCCCTGTCCGTCCTGGGGAAAGGAGACACTCCTACCTGTGCTTGAGTGGATACTGACCCCAGCTTTCTTCCCGCAGCCATTATCAGCAGCACCAGTGGCAGCAGTGGCTATGGTTTACGTCCCAGCACGGTCAGTGGTGGTTACGTAGCTAATAGCACCAGCTGCATCTCTGGAGTGTGCAGCGTCCGAGGTGGAGAGAGCAGAAACTGGGTCAGTGCCAGTGATTACAAGGATACCCTGGGGAAAGGCTCTAGCCTGAGCACCTCCTCCAAGAAAGGAAGTCGATAGAGAGGGCAGTCCATGCCCTCCCTTACCTCAGGACCCCAGTTCTGCACCCCACCCCCACTGTCAGCCCCACTTCCACCCTGCTGGTCCTACCCCTGGGCCCCTGGCTTTGGCTGTCAACTCAGTTCTCCCATCTGTCTTCTGAGCCTCGGCAGGTCTGGACCACCACGCCTGATGCAAGTCCTCCCAGCACAGCCCTTGGCTGCGGTCCCCCAGCCACACAGGCAGCCCAGCCCCAGCCCCAGCCCCAGCTCCATCCAGCTTGTGCTCCTCTGCCGTCCTCCACCTCAGGGTTCATTATGCTGCTGGGCTCCCAGGGCCTCAGACTGAGGCCACTCACATGCTGGGCCTTCACCTCAGCTCCTGCTTCTGCTGGGGGCTGGCTCTATGTTCAGGAGGAGAACTAAAGGATGGCCAGGCAAGAGTGACCCAAGCTCACCCCATCCTGGCACAGCCTCATGGCTCATTCTGAGTGGGACCAAATACAACTCTGGGTCTCTCTCTTTACTCTTCTGCATGCAGAAACAGAGAAGAGGGACATCATTCACGTCTCCTGTGTTCTTTAAGGCCCCTCCTGTTGCATCCTCAATAAATAGCACAATCTCATGGCTTAGTCTCAGTGTATTAAACGTGTGCATATGTACCACAATTCAGATGCTCACATCATCATGCACACACATGCACAACACACATGCACACACATAGCACAAGTACAGACACACAAGTGCACCACTGGGTATGCCCATGTGGCTTGTATTTCCAGTTCAGTTTTCTCTGTGGATCAAAAGAGCAAACTGAGCACATGTGCCAGGGTGTGAGGAGAAGAGAGTCCTATTGGAACAACAGGCAATGGAGTGGGGAACATAGTTTGGGAGGATGGGGAGGAGAAGAGGGAGACAAAGGGATGTATGCATCCTGGCCTATGGCTTTTGATGGAGGTGTGAACTGTGGGCAGAAATGACCATATTCCTGACACGGACCCTGCCCTCTTTCTAGGATGAGATGTTTCCTGGTGGATATCTGCATTTGTCCTATCTTTCCTTTCTGCCTGGCCTCCTGGGGGTCAGCAAAAGTGGGTGGAGCCAGTGAGAATCCCATACCCTGAGTCCCTGAGCTGAAAAGTAAAGTGGGTAGCAAGTTTTTGGATGCCAAAATAGAAGAGAAGTAGAGTGAGTTGGGGCCCTCTCTGGAGTCAGGGCAGGCTGACTTTCAGTGATTGTGCAGTTGGCACCTCCCCAGACATGCTCCTGTTCACCCAAGCAACCACCATAGTGATAGTCAGTCTTGCCGTGTGGGGAGGAGTGTAAAGGGTGGGGGGCAGAAGGATTCTCCAGGCTGCTCTATCTTTGGCTACAGAGGGGATGGAGAAGGGAGAGGGCCACGCAAAGTCTCTACAGCCAGCAGGCACCAGTCCTTTTGCTGGGTAGCCATGCTCATGGTACTGTTTGGGGCAGGGCAGAGGGTTTCAGTTACAGAGGAGATGGGCCCCCTGGGGCTGAGGGCAAGAAGAGGCAGTGGAATGGCAGATGGATGTGGAGGTCTTGAGGGAGGGCTCAGTGGGTTGGGTTGGCAGCTTGAGCATTCAGAGTATGGCTATGGCTTAGGGCAAGGCCGGATACTTCGCCTCAAAACCTTTACCATCCAGGAGGCAGCCATTAGCCAGATCCTCCTGGCTTCCCTTGGCCTAGAAGTCCGTGGCACCGTCTAGCAGGTGGAGGTGGAGGAGGGTGGCATATCAAGACTCAGTGACAGGTTTTGTTCCTTGGTGGCAAGGCGAGCATGTGTGCATGAGCACATGTGTGCACATATGAGTTCCCAACTCTGGGCAAAGACTGCCATTTCCTCAGTGAAAGCCTAAACATGCCTGCTGCCTCTGCCATCCTGCTCCCTTTTCAGGAGTACAGAATAAAGTAGGATGGCAGGAAGAATGTTCTAATCAAGAAGCTTAAAGAAATTGCTATATTCCCAAACTTAGGGATAAAAGTTCTTTGGATGCTCCTGGTTTATCAGACAAGATCAGGCACATTCAGGGTGGTACGGTTATAAACTGCTGCTGGTTTATCACTCAGATTTGGGGAAAGAATGAGAAATTCTTACACCATTCCCTCATGCTTCAGGGCTCAAGGGGATTTTCTGGGTGGGCAGGGTTATCCTGGGTCCTGAGTCCAGTTCCTAAAGCTTCAGAGACAGTAGAACTTCCCACAGGAAACAGTCAGAAGCCCTACATGGAGTCCAAGGCTGGGGCCATGTGAGAGGACTTCACAGGCCTTGCAGAGTTTGGAGAACGAGCCAGGGTTCTGGGGCAAGAGAACAATGATGGCAATGAATAGGAAGCATGGCTGCCATGACACCTCTTGCAAATTGATGTGGTCACTTGGTAGTGATTGCCAAGAACAGTGGTTCTCTATTCAGGCTGAAAAATAACTTGGGAACTTTAAAAAATACTGAGATCTGAGCTCTAAACTATGTGAATCAGGCCGCTAGGAGTAAGTCCTAAGCACTCACTGGTATCTTTTTTTTTTTTTTTTTTTTTGTACTGGGGATCGAACTCGGGTCCTTGCGCTTGTGAGGCAAGCGGTGGAACCACTGAGCTAAATCCCCGGCCCATCACTGGTATCTTTTGAAAACAACAAGGGATTCTAATGAGAATCACTGGCCTGGACTATGATCTTAAAGTTGTATCCAGATCCTGGGAGGAAGAACAACATGGTCAATTAATAATGCCAACCATGGTCACAGGTGGAGGAAGTGGTGGTGTTAATTGGTCCTTTTGATGGGCACCTGTGTGTCATTTTACAGCTCACAAAGCATTCTCACGCATTGTCTGAGCAAAGAATTTAGAGTGATTGGCTATTCCCATTTTACAGATAAAAAAATTGAGGATCAGAATTTCTGCTTGTATAAAAATACAAGGCTGGAAAACCCCCCAAAGTTCCCCAGTCTCTTGCCTGCTTTCAGGGGGTGGAAAAGAGAGCAAGTTCAGGGCTAGGCTCTGGCTTACAAGTCTGGGCAGGGGGTTGTCCTTGGCAAGGCTGCCACTTTCTACTCCCACCTGGCAGCTTCCAGGAGACCAACTAAATGTGGAAGAGGATTCAGTGCTGTCCTGATATCTTGATGGGCAGTGGCCTCTGTTTACTTCTCCATTAAAGCACCTGTAACACAGAGACAGGCAGTGCTTTTGTTTAAAATCACCTTGGTTATCCGGAGCAGAGCCAAGTGTGGATCCCAGACTTCATACTCTTTCCAACACACTCAAGTACAATGTCCCCAGGTTGGGCAGAAGGAGTTGGGACCTGCACAGCTTCAGGAGTAGGGTGTGCTGATAACCCATAGGGAGATGAGCACCATACAGCATGCAAGGGGCTTCATTGGGATAAAGGTAGGGAATGCTGGGGGGTTGGGGCCCTTGGGGAGGCTGGTACAGCAGCAGCAGCAGCAGCAGTAGAGAGGAGGGAGAGAGGGCTGTGTGGGAAGCCTGATGGATTGACACATGTGTGAATCAGCTCTGTACTGTACTTTTCTTGTTCAAGAAAGATCTTTCTCACCCAAGCCTCTGGCTCCCTTAAGTCCAGGAGGAGCAGAGGAAGGAGTAAGGTTTCTGGAGACACCTGAGGCAGAGGAAGGGGGTTTAGGTTCAACCTGTGGCAGGCATAAAGCCCATAGCCCTTCTTTCCCCTCAGGGTATAGAGGCCCTTGGTTGGTAGGCAGAGCTGGGGCCAAGATGGAGAGCTGTGCAGGGGACTAGCTTTCCAGCAGTCCCGTCACAGCAAACCCTGGGACTTGGACTTGCAGCTGAGCTAGTCCTGGTCTCTCTCTCTCTCTCTCTCTCTCTCTCTCTCTCTCTCTGCAGGACATAAGGCTGTTGGTGTTTTTTGAGTAATCCATGTCTTGCTTTTCTTCTGTTGCTTAGTTCCTTTCATCTCTCCAATCCCAGGACTGTGAGCAGGGGCTAGACTATCTCATGTTACAACAATCAGATGCCATAACTAAGCTTCAGAAAGGGTACTTGATGTGGCCCAGCCAAACCCCTGAATCCTTAGTCTCTGTCCTAACAATTCCTGCCAGTTCACCAAATCCAGCTCGCATGGGACCTACTGGACAAAGGCCTGCTGTGTGTATCCAAAGTGTAAAGTGCTCTCCTAGGGCAAGAAGTTACTAATGACACTGAATAGTCAGCCTCCTGGGACAGAGCTTCCCCTCATCCTGCAGGAGGGACTATGTTGATGTCCTGGGCCTCAGACATGTTTGTGTTTCTGCCCAGAGCAACACCAATGCCTGAACCCAGCTGCTCCTTTGCAAGATGCATGCCCAGTAGGACAGCATGCCCAGAGAAGGGAGGCTTAGGTCCAGGCCCTGTAAGTCCAAGGCGGCCCTGTCACACTGTTTTGCTGGAAGCCTTTGACTCTGACAGCTCTAAGACAAATAGATGCAGCACCTAAATCCAAACCTAAAGACATTAGGCAGAAAGATTAGTGAAAATTTGGCAGGAAAATGTACATAAATGGGATCTCCCTTGACCTTTTGAATGATGTCTATGGGATTTGGGGCTGGGGCCAATGCCAGGGGCACTGGCCATAGGAAGTGAGTCCCTGAAGCCCTGACAGGGTGGAAGTAAGAGATAGGAAGTGGAAAGGATGGACACGGGGTAAAGCAGGGGAATCTTGCATGAGGGGCTATGTAGATAAAATTCAAGATGGAGTGGGCAACTTCGGAGATAGGGTGTCCCCAGTACTAGGTGTTCAAGAGCAGAATCAACATTTGACAAGTGTTTAGGAAACCTGAGAGATGGATGGAGGTTTTGACTAGATGCATTCTTCCTAAACTTCAATTTGTATGAGTCTTCTGTGCTTTTGTGACTATGCACTTGCTAACTCAGTAGGTCTGGTGGGGCCTGAATCTAACAAGCCACCAAATGATGCCCATGTTGCTTGGCAGACCTCACTTTGAATAGTTAAAGACTTGATGATATCCAAGATCCCTTCCAACCTGAGAACCCTGAATGCTACAATATCTGAACAGCTTCTGCTCTACTTGGGTTATGAAGTCCTATCAGGAAGTTTTACTAAGGGAGCCAAACTCCTCAGAGAGAATGAAGGTAGTATCTATCTGAAGCAGGGTTTTCAGATATAATGTCCTGTTTTTCCTTAAACTTTATTGTCGGAAACAAAGTATGTGGTGGGACAGCCCCATTTGGGCAGTTGAGTATTTTCCTGGGGATTGGAACTCTGTTCAGGGAGAGATGAGAAGGCAGAGGAAAGCAGTAGGAGAAAAGGCAAGGTGGCTTGAAGTTACGCTTGGTGATGACTTGGAATGATGGTGAGTGACCCTCAGTAGAAGAAAGACTGGGAAGAGAGATGGGGCTGGCTCACAGTTGCCTGCTGCACCTGTGAAGTTGATTCTATAAACTGTGGAGGTAAGGAAGAGTTTTAAACAAGATTAGATTTGTTCCAGAACCCCTACTCTGGCTTTAGGGTAGAAGATG